TTTAAAAAGACAATGAAAGAAATTATTTGTAAAATATTTAGCAAACTAATTTCTTAAATAAGCAAAATGCCCTACAAATCTTTAAGAAAATGATCAATTTAGGAAATGGAAATGCACAAGTGGAATATATACTCTACAAAAAAGGACAATACAAAAAAGGATTGATGCTCAATCTCAACTCATACTTGAAGAAAAACCTGCAAACATTGCTTTTCACCCATCTGATTCACAGATAGAAATTGCTAGCTTCCAAAATGCTGTTAATAACAAGCTGGGCATGGATAAGTGTTTTCAATTTTTTGGGATGTGAAACAGCATTTCCATAAAAAGGGGATAGAAGGCAGGTGAGTTCTAGAAGACATGGGAAGTGGGTGTAGGGCTAAGCTTTCTTCTCAGCTATGGATTTGTACCAGGAATTTGGGGGACTTGGCGGAGACACATAGAGACATTGAAAGAAACACAAGGGTGAGAAACATGTAGGGATGCAGATAGTGGCAGCCATTATATTAATTTGTACTTTGATTTTGTTCCTTTCATCCAGACTTGCCTGGTTTCTTTTGTCACTTCCCTACAGTTTCCCGCCAGAAGTTGCCTGAGACTTGTGGCAAGATTTCAGGTCTCAGTGGCTCCAACCCTGTTTCACTGACACTTGCCCACAAGGGGTGGATCTTTGAGCATTTTAATGGAAAATTATTATCCTTTCTCCCTTCTACATGCACATTAATCCTATTAAAATTCTTTCATACTATATACGCTTTGTCTTTGTTTTGCAAGGATAGCCAGACCCCGTTAAAGCATGCAAGTTTGGGGGTCCCAGGGTGCTCCTTAGACTACATGCTAACAAAGCAATATGGCAGTGTCTATCAACTTTAAACAGACTTAACTGTAATCAGCAGTTTACAACTAGTAATTTATATATAAACTTGCCTAAGGATTCAAAGATGAAAAGGATATTCACCTTACACTGTCTGCCAAAGCCAAAGCTTCAAAATAAAACTCTTGACCATAAATTATTGTATAATCATATAAAGGGAATGCTACAAAGTCTTTAGAGACACACACACTCTGTACAAGCAGCAAGTAAATATGAATGGCATAAATAAACGAATCTTAAAAAAAAAAGCACCTGACTCCAAAATAGAATTCCAAACTTTATAGGTTACAACACTAAAAGGAACACATCAACTAGTGTGACCTTCCTACTGCTTTTGTGTTTACTAATGAGAACAAAAAGATGTTTAAAAATCAAACTTAAGGGGGAGCAAGAACAGAAGCAGAATCTATTAAATCCCTATTAAAAATAGGGATTCTAGAGGCCTAATGTAGACAGTTTATTGCTTAGGTCCTTGAAAGGCATGTTTCCCAGCAACACAGATACTTATTTACATTTGACAGTGGTCCCCCATGATTGCACTAAGACCCTAAAGAACCCAAAATTCTGAATGTTCTCAAACCCTCTGGCTCTGAGACTATCAGCTACTCTAGCTAATTTGCAACATGACTGGCTGGTAAAGCCATAATCCTTATATACTGTAAGTACTTCTCTCTAACGTTCTATTTCTTGGGAAGATAACAAGCTAAAGTCTTTAAGTGCCAAACTTCAGATGTCCCCTTTTTTCCTTATAAAAGCAAATCGAACATTTAGAAAGTCATATCTTTATGTCCAAATACATACATGTTTGAAAGTAGTGAACAGCTCTAGAATTTATATCAGTCTTCTGTCATCTTCTTTCCTTCTTCCCTCCAATGAAGACTATACAGATGCTAATATTAGTATAAGCCCAAGTATGTGGCTGCCAACTATGAACCCTAAGGGTCTTACCAGTAGATATTTTCAGACTTACAAAATTTAGGATTTGACCCTAAAAACTGTTAATCACTTTCATAACCATAAGAAGATACTTCAAATATAGGTCAAGGCTAGCAACAACATGTAGATTTTGTTATACTTCTCCAGAGTACCTCTGGGCAATACTCTGGTAACACAGTATTATAATTTGGGAGTTGAAAATGACTAAAGAAGCTTTAGGATAAAGCCACAAGCTCATTCTCTACTACAAAAATAATAAAGTATTTCATGTATATAACTGTAATCTGCTTCTCCATGTGAGGAAATAATTTGCTCACATATTAACAACATATATTAAAGCAAACTTTCATATACAGGAATGCAAATACTACAGCACCTAAGCCCTGCTGCTTAACTCAATGTGTTTAAAACCACTTACAGAGCAGAGGCAGGTTAGATTTTACTTCTCCTTGTCACAAAAACCTAAAGCAGTGAAAATTGGAACAAATCTATGGATAGTACCTTCCAGAAGTTGTACTGCCATTTTAATTATGTCAAAGGCATACATATTCAGAATAAAGTGACTATAAAATGAAATCAAGAAAAGGTTTTATTCAGAAAGAACACAGATTTCCTTTAGCTTAAGAAAAAGATCAAAAAGTTCTACAAAATCCTATCAATGGAAACTGTGCTCTACCAATTTTAAGACAAACACCATGACTTCTTTGGATTCTTTTAAACATAAAGAGATAGCAACATGTCCAGTAACTTAGAAGGAACTACAGGGATCTGTGCTCAGTGGGTACTATGACACAGCAGGTGTTACTGCCCACTTCTCCAGATGCATCATAAAGTAATTACTCTTGATAGCACTGGTGCTTCTCTGGGTAATTTTCCCAAATATCCATTATAATAGTATGGGGATAAGCATTTTCCATTTGTTAGTACACAATATACAAGCAGACTGAAGAGCAAAAAGGAATCGAGAGTATAAGGGAAAAGCGATACTTTTACTTCTAAATTTTCACAAGTAACTCATTCCTAATCATGGTTGCTCTAATCCAAATGACTAATGCTTTTCTCCACATGGGAATAAAATGGTTATTTCAGGGGGAAATTTAATCCAGTTCCTTCAATCTGGCAAAGGTATTTTTCATCAGAGGACAATTAGCTGACTTTTTTGATAAAGGCATTTACAATATCCTAATGGCTTCTTTTCCTTTATTTTATTAGTATTATTTTTTAATTAAGAACCCATTCACATCAGACTTCCCCTCCTTTGAAGTTTGGAAGCAAGTTCCTATGTAACAGTAACTGAAACATACAACCACAGACCCTAAAGAATCTGACTGAACCTTACCCACAGAAAAATATTTCTTTGACCAGCAAGCAGAAAGACAGATGTAATACTAGAAAAGACTCATTCCTGAGAACATGAGGTTCCATTTATGGGCAACTTCAGCCTGGGGAAAAATTTAGAACAGCACTGCACTGTAAGACTGCTGTGAAGTCTTTCCTTCCCTCCTCCTTTCACATGTGTCAGACCTGCTCTGTGGTCTAAACACTGCTCAGTAGTCCTGAGACCCTACTGTCTTTTTCCTCCCTTTATATTTCCTACTTCTTTTCCCCTATGAAATTCTTACATGTCTGATCCCACTTGTGGTCTGCTTCTGGGGGCACTTAAACTACATATCTACAGTTGCTTCAGTTTTCACAGCACCTTTACACAGGGCCCCAAGGAAGCGACGTGGCATCTTCCAGTCCTCACACTCCAACACAGAAAGATAGCCCTGAAGACAAACTATTCCCAAACTTACCCCAGGGGATGAAGCCACTGGAAGGCAATAGGCCAATGATGTATTTATTGCACAGACATCGTGGGTAGTTTGTGATTTCTGCTTACAGGTCTGAGATAAAACCCTGGAAGGATAACAGCCAGTGGTATGGCAGAAATTGACCCAGAAGGCTAAATCAATAAGGTAAAATGTGTAAAAGGCTTTCCATTTCTTAGACCCGGAAAATACGACCTTCCTAGAAATATCTATGCTGGAAATATCTATGCTAGAAATATCTCTCATGGCTGCACTACACTGAACATGGAGCTATACATTTATAACCAAGTTCTGAAGTGACGGCACTATTCAAAGCAAAAAGACAAGTTAGGTGAAGTAAAAATATTCAAAGCAAAAATCCTACTCCAAAGTGACCTTTTATATTTACTAGAGAGATTCCAGCAACAGTTAGTATGAGATTCAAAGTCAGTTCTTAAGCAGTAGAAGCTATTAGTGTATAAATGCTCAATTATTTGAGTGCCACATGCCCCAATCCCAGCATCAGCTGAGGCTTTCAGATAAAGGAGTGGGTGAGATTCTGAGATAACAAGGGATTGTGTGGATTGGTATTAGACCCCAGCCACACAATATCATTTGTCCTAAATCATTTCTGTTCCTCTAATAACACTTAGGACGGACACGCAGTATTAAGCGACTATATCAACCTACACTTTTCTTCAATAAGACATCCAAAGAACAAATTAGCATTATTGTTTATTCAGTACTGTGATGAAATATCATTATAAAAATAGGACAGAGGAAGAAATCTTTCTAATTAGAGTTCCCTTGAAATTCTCAGAGAACAAAATAATCAAAAGCTTTGTTTTGCAAGCTTTTGGGGTTTTTTCCCCCTTTATTCTTAGTTAAGCTCTAAATGACAAAGAAGCCAAGCCCTCTTACTAGTTTACTAACACATTTAAAGCAAAACACAGTCACACTTCCATTTTAACCAAACAAAGCAACAAGGTGACTGAGTAGCTTCCCAAACTACCAGAGCAGGCACTAATTCACACAGGCTGACTGGCGTTAAATCAGTATTTCATAAACCATGCAGGCTCTGCCCATTTACATGAGCTCTCTATGCAGAATCGGCAGTCTGATGCTGGCTCTCCCAAGCATTAAAAATCATCACTCTGCTAACCCAACTCACTGTTCAGACGGATCTTCTTGAATGCAGCCTTTATTACAACCTCACTGCTGCTTCCTACACTGAAGAAAAACCATGTTTTTAAGCCAGGAGTTCTTCTTTCTTGCTTTATTGTAGTCAGGGGGTCTTGAGACCACCCCGATACTGTTACAAAGCATAGTGCTCTGTAACAGTAAAGCTTCTGGAAAACCCAAACAAAAGACACGTCACCGGGTGACGTCAGCCTATATACAGTTCTGTGTGGTCGCAGCACATAAGCAAATTCATTCTTGTGCCGTTTCTCGGAAAAGCTTTTCAGTAAATGCACTCATGCTGCTCCAGAAGCTCTTCTCTGCAACAAGCAGCCCATCTGCCATCAACAAGTTAAGACCAAGAGAACTAACGGCTGCGGGAAGAAGGCACTGAAGCTTTGTTTGATTAACCAGCTGAGCAGTTAGAAGGACAAAATTTAACAACTTGTGTTCAAAACTGATTTAGGGGATCAGAGTTATCATAGAAAATGAAACCAATGCTTTCAAGAGGAATATCCTAAAAGGAAAACAACTCGCCCTAGCGGATTTATTTTACTCAGAAAGCCTGGGACACGCAGAAAACAGGAAACTGGTCAAAGGCTCCTGCTTCAGCATGTCAGAGCCTTTTACAGACTCACTGCGTTGAGTCTAACAACCGCGACTGAATGCAGCCTCCAATGTGCTCAGAAGAATGGGTAAGTCCATGCATTTATTTGTCTTGCAGGATCCACGAGGAATCACGCTTTTAAAATAAGCCATTGACTTTGCGTTTTATGGGGGAAATCACCGTCACATTTTTTTTTTTTTTTGGTATGGTTAAATTAAAAACATCTGTAGCTCAAAATAGATGTTTACCTTCTTTTAAAATGACTTTTAAATGACTCAAGTTTTGTTTTAGTCATACTAACAAGGTTAGTTGTTCTGCAGCAAATGAAAAATGTTATGCAGTGCAATCTTTCACCTATAATGTTATGATGATGTTGTTTTTAAAATAGCCTGTATGTTCTGCTGAAAAATATCCTATCTTCTTGTTTTCCTTAAATTATATTCTGCAGGCTTACATTTCAAGTGGCCATTAGGGGCCCCTATGCTGGCAGCAATATATGCAATGAGTATGGTTTTAAAAATGCTGCCTGCCCTGGGTATGGCGTGTCCACCCAAATGCCGCTGCGAGAAGCTGCTCTTCTATTGCGACTCTCAGGGCTTCCACTCGGTGCCAAACACCACAGACAAGGGCTCTCTGGGCCTGTCCCTGAGGCACAATCACATCACAGAGCTTGAAAGGGATCAATTTGCCAGCTTCAGTCAACTTACCTGGCTCCACTTAGACCACAATCAAATTTCAACAGTAAAGGAAGATGCTTTTCAAGGACTCTATAAACTTAAAGAATTAATCTTAAGTTCCAACAAAATATTTTACTTGCCAAACACAACTTTTACGCAACTGATTAACCTGCAAAATTTGGACCTGTCTTTTAATCAGCTGTCATCTCTGCATCCAGAGCTCTTCTATGGCCTTCGGAAACTGCAGACCCTGCATTTACGGTCCAACTCCCTACGGACTATCCCAGTACGCCTGTTCTGGGACTGTCGTAGTCTGGAGTTTCTGGATTTGAGCACAAACCGTTTGCGAAGTTTGGCTCGCAATGGATTTGCGGGATTAATCAAACTGAGAGAGCTTCACCTAGAGCACAACCAGCTGACAAAGATTAATTTTGCTCATTTCCTACGGCTAAGCAGTCTGCACACACTCTTCTTACAATGGAACAAAATCAGCAACTTGACATGTGGGATGGAGTGGACCTGGGGCACTTTAGAAAAGCTAGACCTGACTGGAAATGAAATCAAAGCCATTGACCTGACAGTATTTGAAACGATGCCTAATCTTAAAATACTCCTCATGGATAACAACAAGTTAAACAGCCTTGATTCCAAGATCTTAAATTCCCTGATATCCCTCACAACCGTTGGCCTCTCTGGAAATCTGTGGGAATGCAGCCCTCGAATATGTGCTTTGGCCGCCTGGCTGGGCAGTTTCCAAGGTCGGTGGGAGCATTCCATCCTATGTCACAGCCCTGACCACACCCAAGGAGAGGATATTCTAGATGCAGTCCATGGATTTCAGCTTTGCTGGAATTTATCAACCACTGTCACGGCCATGGCTACAACTTATAGAGATCCAACCACTGAATATACAAAAAGAATAAGCTCATCAAGTTACCATGTGGGAGACAAAGAAATCCCAACTACTGCAGGCATAGCAGTTACTACTGAGGAACACTTTCCCGAGCCAGACAATGCCATCTTCACTCAGCGGGTAATTACAGGAACAATGGCTTTATTGTTTTCTTTCTTTTTTATTATTTTTATAGTGTTCATCTCCAGGAAGTGCTGCCCTCCCACTTTAAGAAGAATTAGGCAGTGCTCAATGATTCAGAACCACAGGCAGCTCCGATCCCAAACACGACTCCATATGTCAAACATGTCAGACCAAGGACCGTATAATGAATATGAGCCCACCCATGAAGGACCCTTCATCATCATTAATGGTTATGGACAGTGCAAGTGTCAGCAGCTGCCATACAAAGAATGTGAAGTATAATATGAACCATCATCAAAAATTACATCAGATAAGTAACCTATTTTACATAGTAGGGAATAAATATATATCTAATTTTTACCAATGGTGACATTAAGCCTAATTTTCCAAACTAAGTGGAGACATAAGTTTTTGAAGTGTTTAAGTATTTTAAATTTTTTTTCATTAAACAATATTGTAAATGCTAAATGAAGCAATGCTTACATTAATTTGCACTCTTATTGAAAAGTCTAAAAATGCTTACTTCAAAATAAGACATTTCATGTATGTAATTATATGCTGTCATGTGTAACATTTACTAAGGTCTCCATAAGCTAGTATTTTTACTGAAACAGTTTGGAAATAAGCTACTGAGCAAAATATGATATAGATCAGTACTAGTCTGATCATTGCTCTCCATCCCAAGCACCACAACTGGCTTGCTGCTTTAAAAGATTTAGCAAAGTTCTTTTGTATGGTAATTTGGCATTTATTCAAATCTACAATTATTGCCAGTGTGGGAAATAGAATTTCATGTATGCTGAAGACTGGTAAATATTAAACACTCTTCTTCCAGAGTTTTTGTCTGGGTTAGTAGGTATCAAAGTCCACATCAAGAAATCAGAACCTTTTATGTAATTCTAATAAGCTGAGTGACTCTTTAATATATTCAAAGAATGAATCCAAATGATTGTGGAAAGGTCTCATTACAAAGAAATCAATACTAAACCATTGCACTGACTTTGTATCACACACATCTAGTTTGACTTAGAAAAGACATAATGTGTTTTGTGGCATTTAGACTATTTAAACTAATTTTAAGTTACCAATCTACTAATTAGTGTACTAAATCCTATATTTATGAGAGAAAATTAACAATTATTTTGGAGAGAAAAAAGACAAAGTGAGTCAACTTCATCCTATGACTGGGCTTCTTCTGATTTGAAAGCACACACATATTCTTTTTCTCTCTTCCCCCTTTCACTCTCCTCACCTCCCTATCAGGATCAAAAATATCTTAACAAAGGGGTTCGAACCTCTTCTGCCTTTTCTGATCTTCAAATCTCAAAGGATCAAATAAAAAGTAATTGTGTGGCAAAAGGCATAAAACACACTTTTGTTAGAATATAGTATAAAGAAACCACCCAAAAATTCCTTTTCTAAATATTATATGCTAAAATTTCACCTTTTAACAATAAACACAAATATCCACTGTAAGAGCAGTTCCTTTAACGTGAAGGAACAACATATTACCAAGGCAAATCCTGTCGTGGCAGAACACTCCACATGCCTATGCAGCCACACAGTGGTGACTCAAAGGTGGCGCTGAGGTAAGAGAATGAAAAGGAAAGGGGAATTTTGGTGAAAGGATTTTGAAATTTGACTCAGAGAAACACAGTAGCTGAAGTTAAAAAGCAGCCAGCTGTGAGAACCTAGTAATGGTCCATAATCGGCATCAAACAGGCAATGACCCTGACCTACTGCAGTTGAAACAGGGAAAGTCTAAGAGATTCTCCAGGGTCAATGCAAGCACTTCATAATGAGCAAATAAAAATGACGGCACGTTTTTCATTCAGAAAAGGGCCAAAAGTAATTCACTTCTTCAATTATGATTTGTATAGAACTGATACATTTGGAATGTACATGCAAGCTACTGATTCATGCAGAAATTTTCTATAAACAAGTTTCTATGCATGTAGTAGCAAAAGCTGTGTAATTGGAATACTGTCTTGATTTTAGAATAAAGAGCACTTTTACCACTGGCATCTACTCCGTTAAAAAAAAAAAAGAACTAAATCCTCACAGAAATACTATCTCCTAAAATGTTATCTTTTCATTAATATGATACCCTTCATTCAAAGCACATTTTCTTCCCCTGACTAAATTAAAAACATGTTTAAACTACAGTTTATCTCATGAAATTTAATCCTATATTTTTCTCCTTTGGTACTAAGAGAAGGATATCTACGTACATATCAAAGAAAACATATGTCTCAGCAAAAAGAAGACAAGATGACAAGTTATGGTAGGAATGTACTCTCAAGATTTTTAAGATGGGTAGATTAGTCTGGCAAAGTCTCAGCCTAGTCAAGTTCATTTGGTCTTGAGCAGGGAGCATTTCATCTCTTCTTAAATCAGAATGTGCTTAGGCAGGAACAGAAGCAATGAGTAGAGAGAGCAGCTCACTGCTTCCCTACAGAGGGGTTATATCAGAAATCCCCTACAAATGAGAATTCCACATTAAAATTTACCAACCCATTTATCAGGGTAACCACAGTCATTTGTCAGGGGACAGCTTTGTCACAATACAACTGTGTCCAGAACACATAAAATTCCACTAGCTCTGAGAACAGGATAATTTTTCATCATTTCAACCACAGCCAAAATTAATTCAAACTGTGAGTTGAAGGGTGAGAAATATTGTCTGGGAATCTCCACATTAATCCTAAAGATTACAGTTTGTCAAATGGACCATCAACTGGTTAAAGTCTTTAGTATCTCTAGAAAATTAAATTGGAAAATCAAGCCACTTAGTATTTCAGGGGAATAGCATCCTCAAGGCCACAAAGACATACAGTCCCAGTTGGAAAATAACTGATTTCTCTGCCTTTTTTTCTTTGTTTTTTTAAGTAATGCTTTCTGAGAAAAGTTAACAGTGTGCCAACTAACATTTTTATTTCTCATCTGATGTGTAAACTTCCCTTTCTAGTTACCTACAGACAGCAGGGTTCCATTTAATTTGGGTCTGTCAGTATTGTGGTGTCAGAACAGATTTGAAGATGAGGCCGTTAGTCATATGAACTCTACCAAGTAGACAGAATGGAACAGCATCACAACCAAACTGCAGAGTCCAGCAACACAATGCTTCTCTGTGTGGTTTTATCCTCAACAACCTTTCCTCAAACTCCCTCCTTTTCTCTTTTTTTGATTGTCAAGGTTAGAGGAAATCAAAATAAAATTTCCTTGGAAAAAGGAAAGTTAAAGAAGACTATGATACTACTATACCAACCTAGTATTCAAAAGCTAGTTTGGGATCATTTATATTCATTTCTGTAGCTTGCCAGGGATTTTCAATCACCTTTCTGAAATGAGAGTGGGCTGATAAATTTGCAAATCCATAAACAACCCAGAGAATACCCACTGCCAACATCAAATAGCAAAGACACTAATTTTTTAAGCCAAAAATCTGCACTAACACATGTAATTTCTTAATGTGCCTAAGTTAATTTCTGTACCAATTCAATGAATGGAATTGATTGAACTTCCCAATTCCACTAATTATTAAAACCCATCTGCTTATTCTAATGCTAGTCACCAAGAGCTAGACTCCATCTTTCCAATAAAAATAAGTTGTATATAGCCCTAGGTCTGAATCCTAAAATTCAAAATAGGCATATCATTTTCTTAAGGCATACTTCCTACATACATCTATCAGAGAGAAAGCTATAAATGCCGTTTCTCTCTAAAATGTGAATATCAATATGAAATTTTAAAAGAGTATTTTTTAGAAACTGACTTACATGATCATTTTCCTAATATAGCAATACCATACGAGACCTATTTGGGACATACTTTTCATATCTTATTAGTTAAAGTGTTTCAACCAGAAAAATACAAAATAAAAATGGTAAGGCAATCCGTAAATACTAAGGATTTCTCTTCGGAACCTAGGGCAAACTTGCACTACTTGAATAATTTAAGGCCAAAAACAAATAGAAACAGACTGTTCAGCCTTTTTTCATACTGCTATTGCAAACATTTGGAAACGTCTGCTATTCCTTCAACTAACCAATTTTTCCTTGGTAATTAAAAAAAGATCTAATCTATGAATGTTTGGTGAACTTTCCTATCAACACTGAGAATGCAGACTTTAAAAGTACAATCTTTTAAACATATTGTGTTCAATCACCTTAAGAGCCATTTTTTTTTTGTGGGGCAGGAGGGGGGCAAGTGGGTTGGGGGTGGGAAGAAAATACTATTATAGTGGGGGGTTGGGGGTGATAACAAAGTACAGTGTACGGGAAGTTTTGTTATTAAAATTGTGCATACTGTAAAAAGTGAATGTCTTTTTTTTTTTTTAAGTTTTTCCTTGGTAACCTATCGATTTTTGACATGTGAAGCCTAACAAACCATTTGTGACAGATATAGAACCTTAAATGAATAGCTGTTTTGTGCCATAGTCTCGACAATGCCAAATATGTCAGCTGAAAGAGGGGCAGTTAATCATTACCTGTCTTTCATTCATAGAGGTAAAACTAGGCTAATAAGAAAGAAAGGTATTGAAGGGGAATGGAGGGGGTGTTGTGTGTGTGTGTAAAGGGGATGGCATCTGGTTAAAATCCACCACAGCGATAAATATCAGGCATGCAATAAGAAGCTGCCCTCATCATGAGTCTTAGCAAGAGGATAAACAGCTAGCTGTCCATATGACTTACCACCCTCCCAACAATAACTCAAGGGTGCTATTTGACCTCTACAGTGCAGACACCCATTGGGGTAGATCCTAGTAGCAACTAATAACACCACTCCTGGGAGGCAAGTCTACAGCTGCTGACCATGCTGGAACCTGCCCCTCATTTCTTGCATGATCTACTCTACCCCAGATGCTATTCCAAGAAGTATGGATGGGACAAAGGAAAAGAAAGATTTTAAATGAGCATTCCATGTTTGAGGACTAGAATAAACAGGTATATGCTATGTCTGGGCAGCTGTGGATGACAGAAATTGCCTTGGAGTGGAGGAGTTTGCTGCCACAAATTTCACTTTCCAGGGTATACTTACTGTTCCAGTCCTGGACCACTGCAGCAGACCATACAGGCAAGAAAAAATAAGGCCACCCCTTCCCCTAACACCCAGAGAAGAGGAGATCAGAGGCCAGGAGAGCTCTCACTCCAGAATCTCAAGAAGTAAGAAGGGCACAAACTTTTACTGACACACTTACCTATACACACTAGAGGGCATTGATGGCAGTGGTTTCAAGCTACACATAGGAACAAATTACTAAGCTTTTTGGAATTAAAAGCAAACCTTTTTAACACAATTCTCATACATTTTAATCTTGAAAATCCCAGGTCAAGTTACATCTGATTTATCAGTTATTTTAATTAGTTTTGTCTGTATGCCACCACATTCTCAGGTTCCCACTCAAATTTATAATAAATTTCTTCAAGGACTGTTTAAAGAGATTTTTAAAATTTCTTTAAATATATCTAACCAGCTGGGTATTTAAGGCTCCCTTAGAGAGACAAAATGTACTACAAATGGTCTTTTTACAAAGTGAGGAGGGAAAAAGAGGTGAAAATCAGAGTGATTCCAATCTCTCCCCTTAGCATGAGTTTCGATTTCCTCTCTACTGGTCAATGTTTTTGGAACACTCCTAAGAGATACTGAGTCTCCTTTCCCTATATAAAGGAGACATTAAAAAGCAATCAATCACAAGGGCAAATACAACATTGCATCCCTATCATGCAACACCCTTAAACTCAATTTAACATACCTTCATACAGGGATGTGCAAAAGTAAAACCCAGGCTATGGCCTCCAAATCAGAAACTCCCACTAGAAACCCAACATAATAAAGAAATGGCCATACAACAATCCTGAAGGAGGCTTTACTCACTTGGAAACCAGATTTTTAAAATGCAACCTTAGAAACAAACTCCAAGATCTTTTTTTTTTTTTAAAAAAAATAACTTTCAGGTACCAGGAGACCTTTTACCAAGAACCATGGTGAAAGAGAAGTAAAAATAACATAGTTAAGTCCAACTTTACTGAATAAATCTATTCACAATAGTGGTCAAAGTACAAGAATTCCATCCTTGGGTCATAGTGTGTATTCCCACACATGCACACTATCTCCAAGTTACTTTTTTTTTTTTAATTTTTTTTTATTTATTCATACAGAACTGGGGTACAGGCCAGAGATGTGGAGGGTGAGAGGCTTCACCAGAGACAGAGTGGGGAGCAGAATAGGCAGATCTACGAAGTACACTGCTGAGGGAAGCAGCGGGTGGGCCAGGAGAAGTCTGGCTCGCCATGTGGTCTCCTCCGGGGCAGGCTGCAGGCGGGAATCGAACTCATGAGGAAGTGGCTTCAGATTCTCAGTGCTGTGCTTTAACCCGCTGCGCCACCAGGGAGGGCCTCTCCAAGTTACTTTTATCTGGAAAATCAGGCCAAAACTCCATAGCAATTTATATTAATTTCAAAAACTGAGGAATACCCACCTATTTTCATGATCATAAGAACCAAGAGATTCCTCTTAAAAAAAAAGTTCCAGGGCCAGCTTCCCAGATACAGCAAAAGCAACTGAATAATACCTAAAACCTCCAAAAACATTCATTTTCATAAAACTTATGTAAAGTTATATAAACTTAAAGTCATATAAACTTAGAATAATATTTGTATGTACAGAATACTTGAAAAACACTAAAAAGATCAAAGGTAGGGCGTCTTAACCTTAAGGGTCTCATTCAAATCTTAGAAGAGTCAAGAACATCTTGAAATGTTATAATGCAAATATTGGATATAAGTACAGAGATTTAACCAGATACTAAAGTGTTGTTATCACAAGTAAAGTCCTGGTATAGAAATAATATAATTTTTTCTAGTAATCTCTGATTTGGCCCTAATCTCCCTTGCTCTTTGGCAAAGAGGAAAAAAAGAAAAAAAACCCACAATGATTTTCTTCTGATAAAGTTAGCTTACTAACTGACTTGGGTAGGGGACACTTAAGTGTGAAAGTCCGTGGATTATTTATAAAATGAAATGAATAGTAGGGATGATAATTAAACGTGTCAGATAGGATCTCCAAGGAGTTTGGAGAGAAGGCAGACTTGTTACTCATGTCAACCCTTTAAAAAGCTAAGGTTAAAGAGCATACACATGTATGCCATGTGCTTTGTGGTCACCTAACTGCTGCGGTGAATGAACCAAGGCAGGAGCCTGGAACGTTGGCAAGAATGAACTTGCACATATTTTGAAAAGCAATTTATGTTTCCATCCCAAAAAAGACACACAGAAAACATCTACAATATTATAATATACATCTTCTAGACTAGGACTACAATTTAAATTTTTAAAACCTTGTAGTACATCATGAAGAGAACATTTTATGCAACATCCCTAGTACTAATGATAATCGCAAATGTTCTTAGGTAAGACTCTTTAATAACTAATGTTCTAAGAAATAACACATCTGAAAGGATAAATAAGTCAGTCAAACTAGCCATCCTAAGTGTAATTTCTTTTTTAATTGTAAAGATCAGGGCCTCCCTGATGGCCTAGGGTTTAAGTTTCACAGCTTCCACCATGAAACCCATACTACTGAACAAAGAGACATAGCAAAATGCAGATGGCCTGAGTTCAATCCCCAGCTAGAGCGCTGACTCACAAGGTACAGCGGACCACTACTGTCTCTCCCACTGCTCCCCTAGTCAGTGTATTTCAGTAGACCTGTTTATTCTGCTCCCCACTCTGGTGAGTCCTCTTACCCCTGCACCTCTGGACAAGACCCCAGTTCTATGCAAAATAAAATTTTTAAAAAATCTTACAATAGAGGAATAATTCTTTTAAAAATATAAAATTGTAAATTTCACTCTGTAGGCCATCAGAAAAAAAACATCTAGAGTTCAACAGGATCAAATAGCACAGCAATTAAGAGACTTGCTCCACAATTAGGTTGTGACCCAGGACAAGTCCTTCAATCTCATTGTGCCTTGGGTGTCTTATCCCTAGGACATGGAATAACAGCAGCTGCAACCACAGGGTATTTAATACATGTAAGGGCTTGAGAACAAGCTGACACATAGAAAACATTCAATAAGTTGCTATTTTTGATAGCAATATATGGAGAAGTAGAAATGATAGATTCAGGCCTTTCTGGTGGAGCAAGGGGTTAAAGTGCAGCACTGTGAGGCTGTCTGCAGCCACTGCAACCCGAATTTGATCCCTAGTCAGGGAGGTGATCCACCTGCAGCCACAGACCTCTCCTATCTCTCTTGGGCTCCCGTCAGCAGTGTATTTCTGTTGATCTGCATATTCTGCTCCCCGCTCTTCTCAACCCACACTCCCACACCTCTGGCCTGTACCACAGTTCTTGTATACATAAAAGAAAACTACCATTATCATAAATAGATACTATTTTTCAAACAAAATAAGAAATCTCATTGTTATCTAAGCTTCTCAAAGAATTAAAGATGACTATTAGATGTTCTTCAAGTCTACCACATCTAATTTAGAAAGCTGCCTATCCAATTGCGGCAGATTTGGTTCCTAAACCTATTTGCCAGGATTACTGAAGGGTATGGGCACAGGAGTTATGAGAACTAAAAACACAAAGATAACCAGTACAGTATATATGGACCAGTACAGCTGCATAGAGAGCCTCTGTATTACCAAACATCTCTTAAATATAAAGCTTACTGAGAATAAATCTGTCTCAATGAATACACACATTTAGCCATGTGAGAATTTGCAGATCTTATGGCCCAGATTTTTCAAGTTAAGAAATTCTTTCACAGCATTTTCTTCCCAAGATTATGATGCAGTTTCTCCAACAAGGAAAATCTCTATCTCCTACGTCACCTAAAGGTTCCTCCACTTCCCAAAATCTCTTGACCCAGGTGCTCTCTGTTCTCATTTGCCAGCACACAAACAAGCTTTTCCTATATCTGCTTTTTTCCTCATCACCCCAAAGTTCTGAAAATAAACACCTCTTTGAGGGGAAACCATTCAGCTGTAGTGTATCTACTGCTAGTCTCCCATCTTCTAAAAAATATAATTAAAAAAAATTCAACTAAGTGCCTTTCAGCTGTAAACTAAGCCACACGATTTGTGAAATATACACAATCACTAAGTAGAACTGTCTTTTCACACTTTTCTGTGTGTAAATACAGGTATCAAAAAATGTCTATTCACACTGCAAAGACCAGAAACA